TTTTTATTACTTAAAATTATTAAAAAATGGAAAAGTTACTGTCTCAAACTCAGCTTTGGATCAACCGTTATTACACTTCGTTATTATGCCGGTTATCGAGACTGGTTTATAGGGAGCTCATTGTAAAACAATATTTCAAATAAAGAGCAAGAGCAAGAGAATAAAAAAATGATAAAATATAAACATTAAAATTATATACAGCATACGAAATTTAGTTAAATTTACTTACAAAAAGCATAAGGTATCATAATGTATCGTATATACAAATAATCTACGTGATGGACAATTAAACCTGCATACTAAATCTTCTTTGATATTCATTCATTAAAACGGCAAACAAATAAAATTTCATAAATGAAAATGACACATATTTCTTCCGAATTTTCTGTAATATAACGTAAATAAAGAAAAGTCTTCGTATGTTTGTCTTTCATACAAGAGGAAGGCCAGGGCCTACGTAAAACTTCTCAAAAACCACCCCACAGAGTCCGCACTCTTTATATGCATATATTTTACGCTAATTTAATTAAGTTTTGACTAAAACCTTAGCGATTTAACCTTTGCGGCACAGTGTGTCTGGTTTGGACACACCTAAATATTTCCTTCTGTACGCACTGAAAAATTGAATTAAAAAGGATTTATAGGTTACTATAGGTTACTCTGAACCTTCTTTATAGTAGATGGCAGCTCAACATAAACCAGTCCTAGCCATGTTTAGTTCTTTAAGACCCTCATTTTTTCAACGAAATCTTTAAAGAAATCAAAGAAACCAGATTTTTTTTTAGGGTATAAAAGGAATTGTTTGAAAAGAAATTTCCATGTTATTTTTTGGCTCTATGCTAATGTCCTTATTCTATATTAGTTTTAAATTTTTACCTTGAAATCTTGCCTAAAATCAACGGCGAACCCTAGGTGTGCCCAGACCGGGCTCACCGATAATCTAGGGCAACTGAGAGTCTGTATTCTTTGTTTCTCCGCATCTCATCGGTCAGTTGACAACAATGCTCGTTTCAGCACTCGTTTCGAAGCTCTATTCAATCAGTGTGCCACTTTGAGCTCACCCACAGAATTAAAACGATAAGTACTACCTTCACAAAATTTTACTTGTGTACTCCTCTAGGCCTTATTAGACTGCCTACATTTTTTTTTTTTTTTTTTTTATCAAAACTTCAACTTTAAAAGGTAGCGTGCCGGAAAAGGTTAAAACTTTGTGCCGCCACTCTGAAAAGCGTAAGGTATTCGCGTTGCAAATTTAATCAGAAAGCTCTCTGATATAAACGAAGAATGTTGCCGCTCAGCAAAACGTTCTTTTGAATTTAATATACAATGCAAGAGTGCGCTGTTGTTCAGAAAAGGATAAAATATTTAATTTTTCTTTTCAATTTATTCTGTTATTAATTAAGAAAGTACAGTTTTTATTAATTACTAGCTGACAGTGGAGTAGCTAAAGGGGGGCATCTGATCTCTAACCAAGTGCAGCATGCAGAGAACGCCTAATTGATGTTACGAATGTTAGAATGAAACGTTTTCTATTCTTGTCAAACAGAAAAGGTGCTAAATCTTCAGTTGCTTTAAAATTATGCTGGCTGGGTTCATCGAAACGAACTAAATGTATGTAAAGCAGTGCATCCCCCTTTTTTGTATGTGTGTGTGCATAATTCATGCAAATATACAGTTTTATTCCGATCTTGATGAAATTTTGCGCACTTCAAAACACGAGAAATCAGATTCCGAAATCCAGCCCAGGGAGTTCACAACTAGGACATCTATATTGGAACGTTGCGCTCACGACGCTCATCTTAGGTTCACATCGCCATTGTTGCGTTCTCGCTGTTGGTGTAAGTTTAAGGTGACGACATTGGTAAAGCGGGACACCATTGACCAGGGGGAGAGTGATTAAACATTTGGTCTATACGGAGTAACACAAATTTTCACAGAACGAAAAATAGTATTGTAATACATTTTTAAAATTTCAACAAAAGTACAATTTACAAATAAATTAAAAGAAACTATGTATAGTATCATTTTATTCTTTGGCATATTTCTCGTTTGAGTGAATTTTGTTTAGTAGATTGTTGTTGTTGTTCGAAATGTTATGACATTTCGAACAAGAATTTGTTAAATTATATTTCACACATAAAATGGCTTTCAAAGTCTGATTACTTAATTGTGATTTTTCTGATGTCCGCACTTTACTTACCGTAGAAAAAAAGCGCTGTCACAGCATTAGTTCCTGGGGTATTCCATAGTTTTGAGTGCCTTATTGTATGGAACGTGGTTGGTTTCAAAATGATGAAATATATCTAACTATTTTTTCTCTATTATGATTTTCGCTGATGTCCAAGATTTAAACTTTTCCTTATCAATATATTTTTTAATAATGATGTCTAATTAAAAAGATCATTTTCAGAAATATTACTATATGAAAAAATTTGAGTAACATGATCGCATGATTTTTGCACATTTCAATTAAGTTCTTGCTTTACTATATTCCGTAGCTTGTCGTGCATTTTTCCTAAAAATCGGAACTGTCCCGCCAAAAGCGGGACGTCTGGTCTCCTTATGCAGTTCGTACATAGTAAAGCAAGGGATTTACAATTTTTTTTACAAAAATAAGTATTAATATTTCTACACAGTTTCAAGTTTGAAATAATGCCATTCCTCTTACTTTCAAGTCTCTATTTTTGCGTTCCCACTATCAGTTTTTGCAAAAACCGCAAATAGCTCCATGTTCGTTTGCAATTTATAACAGTACAGTGTAGAACTTTCTAGGAAGTGTAGAACTTTCAAAGCAGACACGGAGTGTCTTCTATATAAATGTTTCTCAAATATTTCAAAAACGGTGAAGAAATCGGCCAAACTGAATGAATTGTGAAAAGCTAATTTCCGAAAAATGAATAACACATAACAAGCAAATATCCGTTCTTACTCAAATCGTTATAGTATGATATATTAGTTCTACATTGTTCTTACATTGTTCATTTTATTCTACATTGTTCATTTTAATCGAGCATAGTAAAATTTTGCACAAATCAACTTCAACCAAAAATGACGAACATCGTTGTTTATTTAAGATTTCGAAAAATCTATGCTTTCTACGCTGCGTAAAGATTGGGCAACGATGAGTACTTCATCTAGCATCAAATATAAGTGATTATGTGCTAGGGGATCGATTTATTGTGTTTCTGAGTTACTATATGTTTTGCTTTACTAAAACTAGGAGTATCTCACTGATTAAGAGAATCTCTATAAATTCATTCATTAATAAACATTTAACCATACAATACATCTAAAATACGCCTCAGAAAGCATAAAAGATAACTGAAGATTTTTGTATTATGTTTTAGATACGATACACTTGTTCAGTGTGACAGTCATTTTAATGCATCTATTTATTTACTGTAATTATTAGTGTTTTGAGATTAATCACTAGTTGCGAGAAATATGTATGTGTTTATTTCATAAACGTAACTCATTATTAAATAAGAGGTAAATGCCAATAACCCTAAAGGCTGTAGGGAAATGTACTAAAGGCTGTAGGGAAGAAACGAATTTTATCGGCATCAGCAATAAAAACAAACTAAACGAATTCACTTCAATTTAACGAATTGGAAGGTTTTCCCCATTCATGACTCAAATTCAGGGTTAAAGTATTTATAATAATGCATAAGAATAGAAGAAAATATGTAAAATAAAACTTATATATATCTCAAACTTCGTAGTCCCTTAGTTCTTCGATTTAATTTGGATATTTCCAATACTGTGCTAAAAACATCAGTTATTTATAACGCTCTCAAATACTCTCTGAAAAGCTTCATTCAAAATTAATAGCCATCATATGATTTTTACATAATGCCCTTACACAGATAATTTACATATATGCTTTAGTTTATTATAAATTTTAAAGCTTAACAGAAAATTTAATCCAGATAAACCAAACTGAAACTATCATTATAAATCAAAGGCCAAATTACTTTGAAACAAGCTTCCCTCTGAAAACACGATACATTTGGCTTTCTTTTTCTTTTAATAGTTAATCGGCTGCTTTATGTATCTTCTGCATCTAAATTATTACAAGTATATATATTTAAAAGTGTTTGTCTCATTATATGCTTTGGAAAATAATTTCTTAAACATTTTGTTTTCATCTACAAGTCAACCTTTACGCTTAAGGCATTCTTTTAAACGAACGGCAAAATTATTAATCATTGTTCGGCAAGTATTTTACCCGATCTTTGCAATTTCTTGTCGTATATTTTTTTTAATTGACCCAGACACCAAAGACCATTGACGTAAACTTTGGAAGACTCCTACTAGCAAATGTTCATGGGCACTAAATCTGGAAACAATTTAAATCAACTCTTTTGGATATCAATCTATGTGAAAAAATTTCTTTAATGTTTGGTTAAGATGGGTTTGAGCTGCATGAGGCTGCTCCATCTTGACGAAACTAGGATTTCTGGTTTGCTTCTGGGAATATTTACAGCACTTTATATATTCCAAACAGTGAGATAAAGATTCTCGAGAATTAAAGTCAAACATTCTTCCACGTTTTCATCTGTTATAAACTAAGCTGTCGCATACAGATGGCACACTTCAGAAGGTAACAATCTCCGTGGTGACTAAATTTCCAAGAACCAGTCTGGCGCTAAATACCCACCCCCTCTCGACGCTCCTTCTCGCAACGTTCGCGCAATAAACCAAGCAAATGGGAGCACATTTACTACCTACTCGTATATAACTTTTCATGAAAATGTAAGCCAATTTTGCAGAATCAGCTTCTGAAAAATATAACTGTACAATATCCTTTTAAAACAACACCCCATAAAAATATTTTTATCATTATTACTATAAGGTAAATGAAATGTTTAATTGTCTCTTGAAGTTTAAAATTAACTTTTTTTGCATTAGTTTCTACTTCACCGAAAATGTTACATGCAAATTCGATTGGAAATATGCACTATAGTACCTCTCTAACAGATTAAATATTCTGTTTTCAGTTCCCATCATTCCCTCTTATCTTTACGAACTTCATCACGAAGAAGACTTGAAATTACGCAATGCCACAGACGCTTCCACATCTAACAGCGTCACAGAGAAATTTGTCCTGCCACAAAGTGACATTCCTACTGAAAATGTGACCGACGAAGAATTATTGTCCACGACACCAGGCCTTCAAGAGCTTTGTGACCGGCTTCGAGAAAAAGAAGCTAAAGAGGACAAGGAGTCGTCTCCTGGAAAAAAGAAAAAACAAAGAATCAGAGGTCGGAAAATTTCCTCAAGCAGTACTACAGAAGATATTAAGACAACCACTGAAATTCCAACGACTTTGTCTCCAGAAATGAAAGAATTGCGTCATCACGAGTTGGTAAATGAAAATGTTGAAGTTGGAATCATGTTCGCATCGAAGCCTATAGTTCAAGCTATTACAAATCCTTTTATAGGACCATTAACGAATAGGTAATTAATTTTTAAAATCTCTCCTGTAATTATGATTGAACAACGAGATATCGAATGACTGAGTTTAATTTTTTTTCGATAATAATTTTAATGCGAATTTGCTTTTCACCTTTGATAGGATCATACGAAGTCTCTTAAGTCAAAATAATTTTCCGCATTACACATTAACCAATCGTATTCCTTTATATTAATTAGCTGTAAATAGTCAGTAGGAAACGTTAATGGATACCTCTTAAATGTTTAGATCCAATAAATGCAGCATCGTTTGTGAATGAAATTGTGATTGCTACCATGAGCGATATAAAACCAGATTTAGTTTGCATATTTTGATTTTTTTTAATCCTTTTTTAGCCAAATTCTAGATATCGGGAACCTCAGTTATGAAGTTCTCTTACTTTACCTAGCCGAAAAATTAACTTTACTATTAATTTACTCGGGTATTTTCATTTAACTTATTTTTTATTTGAATACCTTAAAAACGAAATGCAGTGGATAGTATGGAAAAATGAATAACATAAAACTAAGCATTGAATTTAAGGTACCTTAGAGACAAAACTTTAGCAATGTATATTATATTATTAATAGTACGATTTTGTTATTTTGATATTAATACAAAAGTAACAGTTGTAATTTCAATTGAATGGAAATAAGTTACCAAAAAAATGTATTTTATGTAGCTACATAATTTCACTGCGGTAAAAATAAAAGAAAATATAGTTTAAAGCTTACATAAATAAAATATTTATTTTAGATGAAATAAAAGTAGGCTGTATGCTTATGTAAACTTAAAGTAATTTTATTGCTAAAACTGCTCGAAAAATTAGTATTTAGTATTTTCTTTCATAAAAATAAAAATATTTTATTTTATTTTTTTACAAAATTTTCGATGAATTAATATATGCTGAGCAAAAATAATCTTCCGTCTCTTGAATTGCAATAAGTATGTTTTTGACCTGAAAAGAATGGCAATCCTTTCAACCATGTAGTCTGTGCTTTTAGTTAGTTTGGATATTTTATGTTCTACGTACATAGATATTTCATTAAATTTTGATGAAACTGAGTTAGTTCAATTCATATAAAATTCAGTTTCTGTCAACAGTAATTATTTTACAACAATTAAATTCAAGACATCAATACAATAGGAAATTTTCAATTTTATATAAATGCATTAGCGCCAGAGCGAGGCTTTTGCTGTTCGGCGTAATCTCTGCCGTCTCTAAATTCTCCATGTCAGTTCCTTCAAAATACGAACGCCCGGTGTGGTTTCAACAGTTACACCAGCTCTAAATACATTAAACAAGTGTTCAATTTTATATAAATACTCTACTTAGAATGCAAATTCATTAGAGCATAATGTGTTGTTCTAAATATTAAAATATAAAATTGCAAAGTATTTTTTTTCCTTGAAGTGGAAATTAAAATTATTCAGATGCGCGAAAAGTAGCTATTGTGAAACATGAATGAAAATCATTAAACTATTTAAATTTAATGTTTCCCTAAAGGATATACCAGTTTTAATTTCAATCTTTTCTAAAGCTATGTAATATACGCATTTGAATATCTAATTTCAAGAAGATAGCGTGTTAAATTGTCCATCTTTATCACAATATTTAATCCACAGGAAAATTTCAATAACAGACTGTTAGGAACATAATTTGTAATTTAAATATTTTAAATGCTTTTAAAGTTCAGACAACACTGAGAATTCATAACTTTCAGTATGGCAGATTTGTAGTATAAATGTGGCGTTCCTCCCTTCTATCTGCAACTTAAGTGTCTAGGAAACTAGTGAACAGCTAAGCGAATAATCACTTAAGTTCAGTAACAGAAACGTAAAGCTCAAGAAGGGATAATTACCCTTTATTGCTCAAAATAAAGAATAACAGTCGGCCACTTACTCAGGTCGTACAGCGAAGCCTCCACTTAGGTTTAAATTCAAAAGTGAAAGAAATTAGAACTTAACTAATGCTTAACTAAAGAGATGTAGCCGAATCTAACATAAATCTAACTAGTTGGCCCCTAAATATCGAATTAGCTAGCAAAGCTATCAAGGACCCGTAATACGGTCGAGCGTAGTAACAGCCTAGCGAGACGTGGCCAAAATGCAGCAAGCTAGTCAGAAACTCTTATGATCTTTCTCGAACTCGAACTCGAGTCGAGTGGAACTTCGACTAAATACTACTCTTACTCATTTGCGTTAATTGCGATTCTGAAAACACATTCTGGTAGAAAATTGTAAGTTGAAATTAGTATGGAGAGGAATGGAGCTTTAACTTAAAAATAACTGTTAGAAACTTACGATAAACCTGTAGAGACAACACTAAGAATTCACAATTTTCTGTATAGCAGAGTTACACTTTGAAATCCCAGACCCAAATGTCCGGATCACGTAGAGAAACGAATCCTCCAAGACGATTATTCCGTTATTCAGTGTTCTAACGCTTCACATAGTTCTAGCCCTGAAGGAGACAACGAAGTGAAACTGTGATAGAAAATTGCATCAGTTTTGCACTGCCTCTCAGTACGAGAACACCTATTTTAATTCGCAATGTTTGGATGTACTTTTATGTTACTCAACTAACAAATAATGCAAGTAATTCAATTTTCACATGTGAAAATTTTTTTCCAGGATTGGATATAGTATTCCAATGTTCAGTGGTTTCGTTATCATGTTTCTCTCCACTTTAAGTGAGTAATAACTTTTCTTTTCTCTTTATAATTTATATAATTTTGTTTATAGTTTATATATCTTTATATAATTTATATATATCATATAATTTTGTATAATAATACAGTAACTTCAGAAAGCTTCTATAGTATTTTGCATTCCTGAATGAATAATAATCTTTAAACCAGAATGTAAAAAAAATATGCAAATGTTTTGTCCAGAACAAACAAAATTGAATGTTACGGGAAGCAGCACCTGAATGCATCTTGTTACATTATATTTATGTTTACTTCTCCTATAATGTGATGAAACAGACACTTACCTTAACAGCGGTGGAATGTTGAGCACGTTCAAATAGCGTGCCTTTCGTTTTGTGACGATGTTACTTAAATCCAGAACGTTCTACACGATATGCTAAATTGGTAACCTGTTACAACAATAGTCATAAAAAGTGCATTTCGGCTTAAAATACTGGAATTTAAACATTCATTCCAGGCATGTGCTACAAATGCTAGTCCATTTCGAAACTTTTCAGGGGAGAACTTTGGTATTTTTTCAAACGTTTCCAGCGTGTGCTGTAAAGTATATATCAGCCGTTGAACATGTATGGTGGATGTTGTGTCACTTGACAATTTTGCCACACCAATCTATATAATTTACTTCGGAACCCCTCCAGTTAATGGTGTTCCCGTCTCTCCTCAGGCTCCATATTTGTCTCCTCACAACCTGCTTGATAGCATACCGGAAAGAAGTCGCGGTTCTCAGTGGCCGCACGAACAGTGTTATATATATATAGATATACACCGTGTTTCAAAAAGAATATACGTATTACAAAGTGTTATTTTGTCCAAACTATCGATCACTGCGCCTCGGCTCGGCTATTAGCGAAACGAATACATAGTCTAGTTTATATTAATAGCCGCTAGGTGTCAGTTGTCTTCTGTTTTGCGTGGTCCATCATTTTTAAGCTCGCCTTGCAGAGAACCATCAATTATTTTTAATTTTACGTCCGTTCTTTCAAGAACTCTTGAACAGGCAACATAAAGTTGACCTATCTAAATGCAGGCTCAGGTAAAAAAATGCCAACACGCTTAAGCGTTTGGCCCTGAGACTTATGGATGATCATAGCAAAGGCTAGTTTTACAGGAAATTGTCTACGTCTCAATTGAAACGGAAACCTTGTGCCGTGGCAACTTCACCCCATTGACTAGTACAGTTACGCAAGCAACCAATAAACTATCGGCGACAAACAGACACTTAAGCCGCATATATGTATGGGATGAAGTAACATCATCTCCGAAACGGCTGGCTCCCGGGCTTAGCGAAGCACACCGTTGGATTCCGCAGGATCGTGGCAAGCCATTTTGACCATTCGCGTCTTCTTGGGACTTTACTTGGCCGAGATATTAAATAAAAACTAATTTTCCCTAGATTTTCCACTTTCTTTGTTGGATTTTCCCTATCAGAGGGTTTGGCTACGTGCCAAATTCTTTTTTCTCGAATATCTACGGAACGGCGCCGAGTTGATATTCGAGACGCATTTCCTCGGATTCCAAAAATTTCTCCGAATCCATCGATACCGTTCTCATCTTAGTGCGACTTTAATCGGCCGAGATATTAATTAAAAACTGCGGAAACGTTAATTTGCGCGCTCATTTTTCCGAGTGGCAACAATAAACTATCGGCGACACACACTTTTTAGCCGCTTATATATATAAAGATGTGTGTGTGTAATGAAGCAAACTTAGCTGTAATGTTGTAGAGTTGATGGCGTAAAATGCTGAAATGTTAATCCATAATGAGTAGGAAGCTGGCAGCTGACGCAGATTAAATCTTCATTTTTATTTCAGTATAAACATGTTGCGACAACAAACAACTTGGCCCACCACTCGTGCCAGTTTCAAAACGTTTAAATTTTTTTATATATTTGCAGTAAACAGAGAGTAGCAAACAGCAGCACAGCACGGCCGAAGTGCAGAAAGCAAATAAATTTGCTTTCAGGATGAAATTTTAATTCAAAATGAGTTAGTTTCCGTTCTTAACACATTTGATTGGATAATTAATACTACTGTAATTTTTTTCCTGCTGTTTGAGTTGCATTTACATCTCCAGCGTTACGCAAGAGTAATATCACTTGGATTAGTCTCAAAATGACGCTGTGCAGGAAAGGTTACTTATGTTTAGAGACGCAAAATAAAACAAATTAACATTAAGCATCAAGGGACTATTGCTAATTTAAATTATAATTCATATTTACAAATTTTTTTATTTTACACATAAAGTATGTAAATTAGCTTCATAATTTAATTCTGTAATAGCCACTTAATTCCACACATTCATTTGAGTATTTCCTCTCTGTATTCTAAAAGTAATAGTAACTTTTCTGGAATGGGCCATTTATAGATTAATCTATGTCAAATGGCTTGCGTAACGCTCATGACGTAGCTGATTCGGAACTTGAACTCAAAATTTTGAGAAATGAACAACAAAAACCAACTAACATAATTACAACTAACATAGCAATACAACAACATAACGTAACAATACAACTAGCATAATTACAACTAACACAACTGCATAACATAAATAATTATTAAAACAGAATTTCTAACATAAACCAGAACCTTCTCTTGGTGAGTTTCCATATTGGCTAACTGCGCACTTTTGCTCCTTTGTACCGCTTAAACGCTATTTCACTCTGCTCTCTTTCTATCGCAACAGTAACAAGAATGTAAATATTCTGGAAATAAGCATGATTAGAGCCCCAAGTGAATTGTGGCCACAAATTTCAATTGAAATAAAATTAATCTTAGTCGACTGTCAAGTTTCCTAGTCATTATGGAAACTACATATTAGCATTTTACGCAATCAGAACTTTTCCTCCTCAATAAGGATCTACGTTCTGTTTTATCTAAGTGCTCCGCCATCAGAATTTCTGCGTTTCTACGTCTGAGTGTTCCTACATCAGTACTTCTAAATTTCTTTTTATCACGTGTATATATAATAAAAAGGGAAGGAACTTTCGCATTACTTTTTATATAAGTGAAATTAACATCTTTTATCCAATTAGAAACAAATCAGAATTTTTATTAAAATTAATAGTAATAAAGGAATGCAACGCTGAAAAATATAGTAACTTTATCATTCAGTCTGAAACCAGGAATATAATCTTCTGTTTTCTTGAATTATGTCTAGCTAACATGTTGAATGTCACTCCAATTTATCGGGAAACGCTTTCTTATGAATATATGAAATAAACTATTTTAATTATTGAATAATGGGCATGTTCTTCAAATAGCTTAGCAATTTAGGTTTATTTTAAGAACGCTTTGTCAAAAATCAAGAATTGTATCAACACACCATGTTTGCGCCTTCAATGTGCACTTTCATCCAGTAAGTTAATACAATTAGAATTCATAAAAAAAAAGATTTATTTAAACAAAAAAGCAACTTTCAGTTGGAATAAATTTTGGAACAATATTGATTTCGCGATTGACTTGGCATAGGTCCCGCTTCTAAAGGAAACAAAAAACTGAAAAAAATGGGACAAACAACAACAGGTTTAGAAATTCTTGTGAATGCGAAGGTCTTCGAAGAATTCCATTTCAAAAATTTAAGACGATTTTGTCAGTAATTTTTTAGAACTATCACCCGACGTTTGATGAATCGAAATCATAACTATATTTTCATAACCATCATTTTAACTTCAAACTTAAGGGGCCTGTATACCTTAGAAACAGAGATTTTGGTCAAAAAACTCCTTTTTTTCTTTTGCTCGATGAAAGTCGTATTCCTTATGTTTCCAAAACTGTTTGAATTTTGTTCCTACGTTCATTTAAACCGGAGTTATGATACTTTATTTGACACCTTGTCCTCGAAAAACATACCGGAAGTGCACAAAACATAGATATTTAAAAGGCCAAAGTGGGTGCGTCAGTGTTGTTTACTTTTCTTTTTGGGACTTAAAACTTTATTTAATTGCAATTTAAAAACCAAAAAGTAATTTCATGATTGCAACAAAACAAAGTTCTAACCTATTTTCAAGCTATGTGTTATAAATTCACTAACGCATTTTCGCTCGTGTTTTGATTCTGTGTTTACATTGCTCATAAGCGTTTTTTATTTAGTACTGAGTAATATTCATTAATTTTTATAGGTATAGATAGATATCGGTATAAATTAGGTGTAGATATGGTAAATTAGTTATAGATATTGGTTGCTACACTGTAAACGTGTATGAAAGGTTTGAAGTTATGTTGATTTTTGAAGTTATGTTGAATGTTGATTTTTCCGTTAAATGCTATGTGATATATCTGACTTCGAATCTAAAATTTTCTGAAGAACACAAAAACCTTGTCTAAAACTTAAAGGTATATTCAACTGCAACTTCAACAATGATGAAAACTTAACATCATAAACGAAAACTTAACATCTTAGGTTGAAACATTCAGAATGCTTTAAAGTAGCAGCTATGCCGGCACGGTGAAGAACACTTTCTTCTAAAAGACAAAATCCATCTAGTCCTTTCGGCATATATCTCCATTCGCTGGATTCAGACTTCAGCTCCTACGTGTTTTGACCTTAAACAGCCGGACTGGAACTGGATCAGGACCGGAACAGGACTGGATCCGGAACAAGACGTGAAACCGGAACAAGACATAAACCGGAATCTATCATCCCCTGGCTTCTCCCCCGGGCAGGTCTACTCTGGCTCGAACTAAAATGAACTGCGGTGCCACTAAGGAAAGCACCTCCTTTTATTGACGGCGGTTGCCGTTACTACAGGCGATTATGCAAATATTTAACAACCGTTATTGACAATGCAAAACGACATTCCCTGATTTGACTTTAAATATTGCTAGCAATATTGCTAGTGCTAATAGAAATACTGCTAATAGCATTCATTTTTTTTTTTTTTTTTTTTTTTTTTTTTTTTTTTGTGTGTGTGTTACGAAATTCTTCAATTTTATTTATAAAAATGCTTATTTTGGTCTTCTTATGATGATACTAATTAACACCTATAATATCTACTTCATGTACTAATTAAAAATGAGCACGTATCATGATTTTAAAAAGTTATCAACTTTTTTATGTTCATCAGTTATGTTTTACTTATTTACTTAAATTTCTGTTTGACTATGATATGCTTTGCGAAAATTTCAATAAAATTAATTTATTGAAATTTTGAGTTGTTGAAAAATTTCAATAAAATTAATTTTATTGAAATTTTGCATCTAGATTTCATGAATAATCTAGATTAAAATTGAAATCTAGATTTAAGCTTTGGAAATTGAAAACATATAATCATTATATTATTTCAAGAAGTCTACTTAATATGTTCTATTCGTATTTTAAATTTCAAATAAATCTATTATGATTCATTTCTGCAAAATTAGTTTAAATTAAAATAACACCCGTTGAAATTATGCACAGGCATTTAAATGAACTTTTTCTTACAGTTTTTGCTATGGGCACAAACTACGCCCTACTTTTCATTGCTCGATCTCTTCAAGGAGTTGGTTCGGCATGTACAAGTGTTGCAGGTAATAAAAAATGTTTCCTTTAGAGAAATAATCTGTAAAATGCATGAAAATCGATGCAAAATATCTGCATATATTCGAAAAGCATGCTAAATAATTATGTAAACCTTTTTAAAGGTTTTAAAAGTTAACAGTAGGTGTACAAAATTAATTATAATTTTGTCACTGTATTTTTCAATTTGAAAGAAAGGTAAATTTCAGTAAGAGGGAATGAAAATTAATAGCTGAAAAAAAAATATTCATATCCATAAATTAAATCAATTTTTGCTTCTTTTTCTGTAAAATGCTTTTTTTTTCGTATGACCTGTAAAAATGTTGTTATTGGTTCTCATATTTCTTCTTCCCCTTTTTCCTTTTCTTTTTTTAAATCTGATTTTCAGTGAGTTTTGCAATAAATTTATAATGGTACTTTTTACTTCTTTGTACAAGGTAAAGGGAGTATTATAATCACGAAAAATTCCAGGTAATATATTTCAACGAATTCATATACAAAATTTCAACGTTCTGAGTCTATTCATTTTTGAGTTACGCGAGATGGATGCATATGTACTTACGTATAGATATTATGAAGAAATCTCTCCTGAATCCATTTTAAATCCCTTTTTTAATTCGTTTTGGCGAAAAGAGACTTTTACTCTGTTCATACAGATTTCACGCAAGGCACGTAAAATCATCATTCAGATGGATTCTAGAGCTGTCAAAATGGATATTATGTTGAAATATGCTATCCGAAATTTTTGGCGATTACAATATTTCTTTTCATTTGTAGAAGGAAGTAAGAAGAAAGATTTAAGGTTTTAATGATTTAGAGTCCAGTTTTACATTTTTTCATTACTACTAAAATGAACTTAAATAACGCCCCAGAAAATCTTCAAATACAGCTAATTAGTCTGCACTGTGATACAAATCTTATTTAAAGACTTGAAGATTGAAGATCCAGATTTGATTGGACTTCCTTCGTACTTGTCAAAAGATTTGAAGATACATATTAGATTGGACTTTCTTCGTACTTTTCAAAAGATTTGAAAATTCAGATTAGATTGGACTTTCTTCGTACTTGTCAAAAGATTTATGATTTTTACAATAAGAAATATCGCTTTACATGGAAATACTTTTCTATGTGAACATTTGTTTTCCGTATTTAACACAGCATCTAAAATTCATGTTTAAGATAATATCTTGTAATTGTTCTCCAAAGTCGCAAATTTTCAAACTTAAACGCCATGAGAAGTTGTAGTTGAAAGTTGTAGTAAGAATAATTTATATACACATATGTTGTTGCGTGCATATGGGTTCACAATGGTTTGAATGTACATAGACAGATAAAAGCTCGATGAAATTTATTTTTCGAAAACACTTTACAGTTCTGAAACTTTACACACAAAAAAATGCTTGTTCAGTTCTCCTCAGAATGACGCAGCTCAATCAGAAGTTACCATTTCAAACTAAAAACGTAGAACAAAGCAAAGAGCTTCAAAATACACCTAATCGGGTGATCTAGCAAGAACTCTGAACTGAATGCTCTTAACTTTCAATACTCTGAGGTGAACTGAAAACTAATACTCTCTCCGGTCTTACATAGATTTCCCTCTTCTGCGAGAAATTTCCAGAACCTCCAGACACCCAAAGCGACAAAAAAGTTGTATTGTTTTGCATCCGTTACGTCTTTTTCCCTACGGGACGAAATATTAAGCTCAGTTGCGAATGAAAGACAAGTATAAAAAAGACAATTTTATTTGAGAGAAAAATAACTTCGCAGCATTTGATACGAAATTGAGGAAAGCCACAAACAAATGGGTTAAGAAAAAGAATTAGGCCCAGATAATATTAAAAAATAACTGTGGATCTGAGTGAGATAGAGAACATGAAAGAGGAGCGCCAAGGAACTTAATCATGAATGTATTCTAGAGTACACTAAAACAATGTGACAAATAATGAAGAAGTCCATGTGAATTATCACCTAATAATAATACCGCTAATGTTGTGTTGTAAATATATAGCATATTGAATGAGTTGTTGGAAATAGTAATCTAGTGCAAATGATAAAGAAAAGAAAAGGGAGGTTTAATTCCATTAATTCCAGTAATTGTACACTTCTGAACGTTTATTTCTGAGAGGAAAAAACGAGGGTAGAAAAGCCTCTAATCAGGAGTGTGAGGAAGCTAAAGCTAAAAGTTAAAATAAATTGAGGGTTCACTTTGAAAACAGCTAAATTTTAACTAAGACAGAAAAACAATAAAAAAGAGGGAGTCCAAACATGGAATACAAGGCTATACGCTCTTTTCCATCATGAGATACGACATCAGACAAAAGTGGATTTCCATACACTTTTTTATAACACTGCAGCAGACAAAAGTATATATCCATACACAACCTCGGGCTACATCAGCAATTAAAAGGAAGGAATCCAAATACAAGAGAGTACGAAGTAATTTATGATAAGTTAGAATGCACAATGAAGCTTCATGTGAATGTGATAAATATGAGGAAATCATGAACGTTAAGAAATAATCCCATAATCCTAATTATTGGAATAACTGCAAAGATTTTTATAATTTTTGTTAAAAAATAATAAAATTTACATAACGTCATCAATAAAAAGCAGATGAATCCACTCCACGTGACTTAAACAATCATATAGCAAAAATACATAAATAAAAATTTCTAGCAATAAATCACGAATACACAAGTAAAGTTTCAGAAACGATTCTAATTATTATGGAGTCAATAATCAGTCACTAAATTTACTAATCTAAATACTGAAATTATTATACCAAAAGCACATGAATAAGAGAAAAAAATCCCTTCCTATTTGCGCGCTTCCTAATTTCAAGAAACAAAACTTTCTCCCTTTTCACTCTCCTGCAACAAATGCTGAAGAAATTATAGCATTTACCAAGTAAGAACTTTTCTTCTGGGTGTGACAAAAATTTAATAAAGAAAGAAAAAGAGAATAATTGTCATTTTTTATTTTCAAATTTGGTCCCGCTTGAAACGTTTTCCTAATTTTTTTTTTATTTCTAATAAAGTTATTTAGTGATTAAGTCACTATATTAGATTTATATGAAATAAATGTCAGTCTTAAAATTTAATATTTAGCGAGCAATACATTACAATTATAATATTTAGCGAGCAACACATTACAATTATAAAGTGTAACCAAGAGAAACTTCAACAGAAAATAAATACAAATTGGAATTTTTTTCGTTTACGTTATTATTGTTACCGCTTATGTATAGTTTGTTAAATAAAATTTCAAATTTAGTTTAGAAAAATTTGCTTTGTTAAAAAAATTTTCATTTTGGTAAATTAAAAAAAAAAGTAGTCCTTCAGCTTCTTTTTAGATCGTTCATTCAGCCTGTACGCAATTTGAATTTGAGATAGCTGCCTTATTACATTGAAACACAGACAAACTGACCAAGTTTTCTTTGAAATGCTCAAAATATCTATTCTATTCTGAATAGCTATATTTTACTTTCACCGAGTGGCAGCGTAATGCTAGATAGCAGATTGTCTAGTTCAGGTTATTTGATTGCGAAATTTCTAATAAATTCATTTTAAAACTATACCTAGTATTTGTTGCAGCACATCACTTAAACACATGATATAGAAATGTGTTTAATGTCATTAGATTTAGATTTATAATAGAATTTATCAGGTGCAGTTACAGGTAGAAGCTAGGGGAGCATCTTTGTAGTACCACAGGTGATTGAAGTAAGTCTGAACCAAGTTAATTTTTAAGCATCCGCCTCGGGTGGAATTTGATGAACGAAGACCACGGGGAGCGGTTCCAGGGTCTCACATCACTCTTCCCATACCCACGATCTCTCGAAGGGATTTGAGCTTGTCGTGTATTTTGAGTGCCTTCTTTCCTAGCATATACTATACGCTTTGTTGGGTGTGCTGCGTTAACCATGAGACAATTTTTATCGGTCAGGTGGGTTCCAGAACTCTCGTATACTACATTACATTACACTATACGCTTGCTCACATCCATGCCTTCTCTGGGATTCGAATTCGGGCCTCTACTATTCGTCCACTATCTCATCTGAGCTGTGATAGAATTTGGCAATCGCTGCGCCAGCAACGTACAGTGTCTATCTTTGTTAAGACGGCAGATATCATGTGTGTGCCAGTTTTCCATTTAATCTCACATATGTGCCAGTATACAATGATCAGAGCTTTCATTAAAGAGAAACGAAGGCATAAATGTAATAACTTTGATAAATCCTCCAAAGGTACGAGAACATGGAACTGAATCCGAAGACTGGGAAACCACCACAGCATTAAAACACCACATCCTCAACCTGTGCATCCTGTCCACTCTAACAGCAAATTATGATACACATGCTCTTTGAAAATCATCCTTTATTATAGAGGCAAATTTTGATTGAGATATTCTCGAAAATAATCCAGGTAACCTAATGGCAGTTAGCCAAACATATTTGCTGTGGAAATAGGATCTCATCACAGTTTCTTATTCTCGCATCACCGAACTTTCCAGTACATACAAGTAAATCTTCTTGATTACCCTTAGACTCTACAAATATGGACAAAAGTGAGCACATCAAGCTTTCGCAAAATATGACTTATGTCTATCTAAGTGTAAAAAATTTGGTTTTGATCGTGTATTTCATTTATTAAAAATTTTAAAGTACTTCTCTTGTATAAGAATAATTCTGAGTTTTTCATTTTACATGTAAGTTTAAACCGAAAACAATCATTTATCGGCTTTTGTAAGGGCAAAAAATACAAAATAATAACATAAACAGGACATATTGCTATCGTTAAACAGACCTGTAAACGTGAGTTGCAATAGTACTACACTTTTAAAAATAAGGTTTTAAACTAATTTCTACAACAAAATTTTGACTCTAATTGGGCCAAATTAAGTATGGGTATCATGATTTTCGAAAAGTTTGAAATAAAACATTTTAAATTTATTTTCTCAGCTTAGATTATTTAAATATTGCTTTCTTTTTTCGTTATTTTTACTAATTTAAAAGTTTCTTATTTATATTCTTTAACATTCAAGAAAAGATCTTACATTTCATATTCAGTTACTCTTTGATATTACGATAATACATGAAATGTTAAACGTAATGTTTGAACTCTTGTTTTATAGGTATGGGCATGTTAGCAGCCTTTTATCCAGACGACAGGGAAAGAGGGAACGCCATGGCATTGGCCCTAGGAGGTTTAGCTCTCGGTGTCATGATAGGGCCTCCATTCGGAGGAGTTATGTATGAATTTGTTGGTCGGGCTGCACCTTTCCTTGTGTTAGCTTTCCTGTCGCTTTTTGATGGACGTATGTACATATATTTAAAGTTTCTTATTTTATGTATCTATGTAGTGTATATATATATGAAATGTAATTTCTCATACATTATTTGTTTTGTGCAGCCGGGGCAACAGGAATGAGACAAATTTTGGAATATAAAGTGGTAGGTTTATTTTAGCATCCATCTCACAAGCGTTCTCCTCGTACCTTGAGCAGAAGCCCTACTTATACATATGTGTACGTCACGAGGCTCCTCCAATCAGCGATATTAATTGAAATCACGAGGTGACGCTATCTTCTCATCAGGAGTGTTCTTAAGTACTTTATGTAATATGACAGATTTATGAGTTTGACAGATTTTGAGTTTGGCGATTAGAGAATCGCCAACACATTATTAAGCAATATTAATAGAATTTAATTTAATCAATTGATTTAAAAATATCATTACATATATATATATATATATATATGTTACGGTAAAACACCGAAATCTGGAGAATGTCAACTTTCACCGGTGAATGTCAACATTCACGTAGTCGCTTGGTGTTGTATGTCCGAAATATTTTCCAAATACTTTTATTTCTGACTTACACTGGTCAATGTCGACATTCACCATGTACTAATGGTGAATGTTGAACGTATAAGAATATTATACGACATCACCAATTTCGGTCTTTCACGGTAACATATATATGTCATCATCATCATCATCATCATAAAAGTACAGTCGCAAACCTCCTAGCCGGCACAAGCCAGCCGTTTGATCAAAACGTGAGACTGGCCAGAAAAAAACAAACATAAGCAAAAACCCAGTGCCGAATTCCAATTATATCTTTGTTCGTGTTTATAATCTTCTTTACTGTCTATACAAAATCTTTCAAATTTGAATAGTTCCTTTTAAAATCTTCCTTAAAATTATTTCTATATTTCTCTCATGCACTCCAGGTAAGCGTACATTCATCGACGAAATGCCTGGCGTCCCCAAACTTATCACATATTAAGCATTTATCATTATTCTGTAGATGGAACCGATTAAAATAAGCCGGGAAACGCCCATGGTTAGTCAGTATCTGATTTATCTCAACATTATTTATAATATTCATCTTCTTGTATAACTTTCTATTTTTCATTAACTCTTTTTTCTTAGTAGACGGCTTCTAGCAAATATTCCATTCTGTATAAATCCATTTTTCCATTTCAGCAATGGTCCTTTTTTTAAATCCTGGATAAAATTACGTTTATAGCCTCAATTATTATAGTTTGACAAAACGCGCTAAAGATGTTAGCTTAATTCTGGTTTTGAGCTGCTTTTCCCTTGATAAATCCGGCTCAAACCTCGGGTTGAGTTAAGTTACCATTTGTTGCAATTTTTTTGTACATATTTACTGTGTATTTTAAATGTATTTAATTTTTTGCTAGCTTCCTTTTAAAATAATCTTAATTTTTTCTCCCCTTTTGGTTTTGAAGTTATCTCGATCTGCAATTTTTACATTTAGTTTTTACGAGATAGTTTTTACTATAGTATTGTTTGTTATTGTTACATGATTTTACATTTTTGCTAAGGAACTATAGTGTCAAATGCACTTTTTTAGCATTAGCTTTTAAAAATTCATCTTCCTTAAAAATATATACATATATACATCCAACATAATCATATATATATATATATGATTCATAATCATATATATCAACATAATCATATATATATCCACATATTATATATATATATGATTATGTTCAACATATATATATATATATGCATACATCAACATAATCATATATATATATATGTATATGATTATGTTGATTGAAACTGTACTATTAAGCAGTAGATAACAAAACATTTAATTACTATAGCTGGTGACTGGCGACGGAGGGCGGGGGACACCTGTTGTCTAACATAGGAAAGCAGGTGTATGTCCTACGCCCTCTCCAATCCAGAGTAACAAATTCCAGACACAACAAAAGAGACGCCATTGGAGTTTGTATATTTTAAGCATAAGATCTTGCATAGATATTGGTAAACAAATACTATAACTGTAAATATCAAGTCATTTTGCATGATATTATAGTCAAACACCGTTACATCGAACCCAATTTTCTATAGACTTCAGTGTTATTTTATGACTGTAGAGAACTTCAAGATGCATAAAAATTAGATGTAACGAACTGAATAATTTGGTCTGAAAATTCTTTGTATTTTTCAAACTATTTTCAGGATTTTTATAATTTTCAACTGAAAAATTAACTTTTAATGCATCTTGTTTAGGGTATTAAAATGACGAAAAACACCTTCAGGTTACTGTCCTTTTATCCCTAACCCCACTTTTCTATGCGTTCTAATTAAAAGGCTATGCCAGGAAGGTGATTTAAAAAACCAGGACATACAATAAACATACCTTAAGAGATCCAGTTCCATCACGCATTGAACTATAGGACAACTGATCCATTTACACAAAGAGCTTGAATCGGTTCATCGATTCTGTTCAAGTTCTTTGATAGAGCTGTCAGACAAATCTGCGTTAAAGGCTGTGTTAAATCTCATTATTGTAAATCCACATCTAAATGGAAATATTTACGTGGAGGGATAGGTCCCCCATATCATGTCGGATACAGCGAACCCCCGGATGTAGTGAATCAAATGTTTGGTCCGTTGAAGTTCATTATAACGGTTTGTTCGTTATTATTATTTTGACTATAAATTAAGTCAAATTTAATTTTTTTAATACGAGCTTAAAAATTCCGATGTAAATTAAAATACGTCTTTTTTAAATGAACTTTCATATTTACAGAAATTCCTCAGTTTTTTCCCCTGTAATCTTTATACTATCAAATAAACTGAGATTAAAATCTTTTAAAATAATAATAAAAAAATTTGATGTTGACGCTATTACGAAGCGATTAATGATACTAATGCATAGTTCGACAGGCTAGTTATAACTTAACTATTCTTGTTCGAACGCTAATTTTGTTTTGACAAATTTGCATCAGTGCTAAATTTGATCTTGATTTGGATACAAAAAATTCATGACGATATCTTTCATTTATATTTAATGAAAACACCAAATATCTCAGTAATACACGCACATTGCAATGGCGAACTACATTTACATAATGTAAAAAAAAAAACAGAATTCCTTTGGCGCAACAGCGCCCTCTATCCTATGAAAAGTTCCAACACACCCCACCTGTGCTCTTTTAAGAGCACATTAAATTTACATATCAATAATATATTTAGATATAATCAAAATCAATATGCACGAATTAATACTGAAAACTACATTGCAAATTAAATACAATACATGAAACAAACATATATATATATAACTTTAAACTTCAAAAGGATAGATTAATTGGACGGGTCTTCGATAAAGTCCTTGAGAAGTACGAATCAAACATGAACGCACATACCCATCCCTACCTTTATAAACTTCTTCTATAATTCCAATAGGCCATAAAAATTTTGATTTCGTCGACCCCTCCAGCAATACAACCTCACCCTTTTTAAGATTCCTTTCAGGAGATGGATTTAGAAAAGTATGCGCAGACCGTAATTCGAGGAGATAATTCTCCTTCCACTTTTTTCCAAATTTGTTTCAAAAGATTAGTTTGATACAGTTTTCTCCTAGTCAAAGTCTGCCTGTTCAATGGTTCATTCCTGAAAAGGTCGGCGAAATGTACAGGATAAGAAATATTTTCTTGCCCTGGAAACAAGAAATGGGCAGGTGTAAGAGCTTCTGGCTCTTTTATTTCATTATGGACATAAGTGAGAAGTCTATGATTTAAAAGTAACTCAATTTCTAATAGAATAGTCATCATTTCCTCAAAGTTAAGAAGAGCCCTTCCGAGAACCTTTCTCAAAGGATCTTTGATACTTTTCATAAGCCTTTCATAAAAACCACCCCACCAAGGCGCGTGAGGCGCAATATATTGCCAAGTTATGCCGTTTATATGAAATCTTTCAATTTTGAATCTATTATAATTTTTGCTAATTCTTTAAGAATTTCATTAGTGGCTCTAAAGCTCTTAGCATTGTCGGAAATGATAACTTTACAATTTCCTCTCCTAGCTAAAAATCTCCTTAATGACAAAATAAAGTTTTTTTTTTGTTGACATATTTGTGATTAATTCTATGTGCACAGCTCTAGTAACACTGCATGTAAATAATGTTATGTAAGCCTTTTGAGGCGTATCCTTTCCTGATTTTATTAAAACTGGGCCAGTGAAATCTACACCAGTTACAGTAAAAGGAGGGTTTTCAGTAATTCTACTTTTAGGTAGTTGACTAGTTATTTGTTTAGCTGGTTTCAACTTATACTTTCGACAAATTAGGCAGTTACCTAATACTCTTTTTATAATTTGTCTACCTCGTGGAATCCAAAATCTAGACCTAATTTTGGCTAGCGTAAATGTAACTCCACCATGAAAAATTTTATTATGTTTTCGAATAATAATTAACTCTGTAAATTTACACTGCTTAGGAAGAAGTATAGGATGAGCTTCATCCTTTGTAAACGCTCCTTGTTCTAACCTTCCTTTTATGCGCAATACACCACAACTGTCGAGAAATGGGGCTAAATTCGAAAGTGGAGAGTTTTTAGGAATCGATTTACCGTTTTTAAGGTTCTGCAATTCTAAGTTGAACTCTATGTTTTGCTCATGTTTTATCCAGTCTATTTCAGCATTTTGAAGTTCTTCTGCTGTGAGGGGACCTGCAATCGTTTGTCGTTTTTGAAGTTTATTAACAAACCGTTTTAACTAGTGCAGTTACTCTTAGTACTTTTAACAAACAACTATATTTCCTTAAATCTAAAATAAATTTCGAATTTTCTACCAAACAGTTATTTTGCACTGTACTTTCAAATTCTTTTTTTAGCTCTAAGTCTACGTCTGTAGATTTTAAGTTCTCTCTTTCAGTAGGCCAGTATTCAGGTGATTGGCTTAGCCACGGTGGACCGTGCCACCAAAGATGGTTTGTAGCTAAATTTGCTGCAGAAATTCCTCTGGACAAGATATCTGCAGGGTTA